AGGGAAACAAAGACCGCAACCAATCAGGGATATCATATATTAAGCATTTATCAATGCCATGCAGGAAGACACTTTTTTCTGTTTTCAGCACCCGAATATACACATCGCACAGCAGAATGATAACTACTATGTAATGCACAGAGAAAACATGAGATGACATGCTAAGAGATGAAGGATTCGCGGGGGTACGAATTAAGTGCGGCATGACAGACTTTCGGCACAGTTCGGTTCTTGTCTTCGTAATGATGCAGTCTCCTTGTGCAGCCAAACTCTGAGAGTAGGAGGTTGCTAAATATTTGCAAAGCGTCGTAACAGAACTGTCATACACATTCTGCACAACAGCTCAAAACACCAAAATACCATGGTATAACAAATAAAGCTAGAGCATGCCGCAGATCATCATGCTCACTAATTATAATTCGACGGCATAGCCTAAACCAATAGTTATGCATTTAATTTAGACGTCAATCAGAAATACAACCAAACACTAGGCCATCATTAGGGTAAAGAAACAACATAATTGATACAATGAATTGGGTAGCGGCAAGTGTCACCTTTAATACAGGCAAATCATAGCTTAAATGATTTGCGGATAAGCTACTGTCGTCAAGTTCGCAAATGTTTTCTAGGCAGTGAACAACAAAACTAAAAACATTGGTTGTTGCTTAAGGGCAAGATCAAACAGCAGAGTAATTCAAACTTATAATATTTCAAATTGATATTAGGTAACATTCAACGCAAGCGAACAAGTCCAATTTTCCTTCTCGACCTGTCTGCTCAAGGAGGACATTCCACATATTCAAACGCATCTGCAGCAGGCCGACGCATGATCGTCAAGCGAACAAGGCTGTAACGATATTTCCACTCACCCTATGAGCAAACCAAGCCAGGCGAGGATCTCCGAGGAAAGTTTTTTCAGACCGGCTGTCGTCAACACACTGGTTTGTAATCTGATAGTACCATCGCAATTTTAGGATATTTCACAATCAGAGTTATTGGAAGCTATCGAGTCTGACCTAATGAATTTTCCGGTCCGCAGTTATTTCTGCGCTTAATCTGATTAACGCAAATATGGCCGCTTCCAGATATTATATTCTGATATAATCCGGTATTTCAGTGTCATGCAGATTACCATAATTCACTGATGTCAGTAAAAAACGACGGTTCACCTGAGAATTAATGCAGTAATCGCTAGCCAATATACTTTTAAGGTACTTGAAGTCATGTACATGTACATCTAATAGCATCCCATAGCAACCTCAAGATCTTACATAGTCTTCGACATCTTGGCGCCGACTTGTAAGCTTAGTTCCATAGCAGTGCTGCATACTCTTTTGATTAGTTATCAGTAAGCTACTTGGAGGGTTGCTTAGAACCACTCATTAGCGCACTCAAGCTCCGCTAGGAATGCATCAGATATCTCTAAGCCGCGTCGAAAACTTACAGTCAAGACGTGGTAATTTTAGACGACGCTCTTTCAAGTAACGTAGTTTGCCATGACGCTAAACAGCAAAGCAAAAGTGTCGCACCTTGACGAACATCGATGAGACAATAAATTTTCAGTTTAGACGGCGCATTTTGTACCTTAGTGCAAACCTTCAATCAAGTTTAGCATCATCTGTGCAATTCTGCGCTGTCGTTGAAAGGTACGACACATATCTGACAATGAACTGTGCCGAAAGTTACACGAAAATTACAAGGTACTGCTAACAAGAGAAAATCACAAGAAGTATTAGTTTCTAATAATTATTCATCTGTTTTGTTTCTCCTCTTTCAACACTTTCTCATTTTTATTAACTCTAATCATGCACTGGCAAGTATCTTCTAAGTTTTGATAACCGTGCAACTTTGAAATACTTAGCTATTTGAGTAATAATAATTGTATTACTGTGCAAGACTGCCATTTATGCTTTCTCATACACTGATTTATGCTACTGCATATCTTTGGCGAAAAATAGCTTCCAACGTTTCGCCGTCTAACACAATTAAGTTGCCGACTACAAACTAGTTTCATAACCAAATAAGGACTGCCATGGGACGATTTTAGATTGTGCCAAAGCGATATTGTTTCGCAATGGCCACAAAGTGAGAAGACAGGTATCATTCGGATGTGTAGATGAATCCGCATCCAAAAAAATGATTTTTATACCTTGCCCTTCATAGCGATGAACTCGGTGTCGGAAATGTACAAATGAGACGCGTAAATTTCGTCCAAAATTTCCTCCTTTTCGTCTATGTCTTTTAGGAACGGCACGATGAACTCCTTGAACGCGTCGACCGTTGTCTTGTTAGGCCGCTTCGCCAAATCTGGGATGACATACACGTTTGAATAGTCAATGCGAAAACGACTCAACAATGCCGCCATGCTAAAACAAAACGACGTCCAAACACGATCACTGACGAAAAGCCATGCTCACCTTCGTTGTTCCTTCTGAAGCTGGCTGTGACTAGCGGCAACGGTGAAAACACGTAGTTTTGCGCCTTCCAGGAATGAGCTGGACAATGTCAGCAGATGAGGTATTAACAGACCAAGACCTATATTAAATGCATGTGTATAAGATATTGATAAAACACTAGAATACAGATATGGGTACACATAAAATTGCAATGGAAGGTAAATTACTATTGGCCACTTAGAGGAGGCTTGAAGATAGTGCATTCAACCCGCTAAGACAAACTAAGTAGGTTAATAAGACGTGGTGAAAAGTTCGATCAAAAGTTCATGAGTTCAAATTCTGGTGAGATAATTCGTTCCTGAACTCTCAATGATAGAAACAGCAGAAGGAATACTTTTCGAAAGAAGCAGCATAGTACAGGCAACATACAAATACCACCGCCTTTGAGAAACAAAATACTCATTAGTGATGCATCGAAATGAATGAAAATCAGCAAGGTTGCGCAATAACTCGCTGAAAGAAAAAGTTCGCAGATGGCACTCATACAGGAGGTGTAACGGAGAACGAGAAAGGTCATAAACTCTCGTTTCCTACATTCTTGAGTACACGAAACAATTTGACCAGAAATATTGTAATAATCAGCAGTAACATATAGGCTCGTGAAAATCTACTTTGCTGTCTAAACAAAGTCGTAAAAACGGGCAGCAATCAAAGAATGGTATAGCGTTTTAGGTCGACGCTTGGTAACGTATTACCTCTAGCCCCAACAGCAAGGTGTCGGTCAGTAGACAAAAAATAATAGCAACAATAGCATCACACATCTGCTCTTCTCTCTTACAAAGTAAATGTGCCATAAACATAAGCAAAGTTAAAATAGGAAGCTAAAACTTATCAAACAGTTGCTACGGTACTGTCAAGAAGAAACTAAATTCTAAACATTACCGTTTTGCAATTTTGCACACATGGTACAGTATCATGGAGATCGCGCTTTATAAATGGCGATGAGATCAATTTAGTCTGGAGAAGCGACAGGCATACATTCTCTATTCATATAATTTTTGTAGACAGTATATTCGGGTCAGCAGAGTAGCTTGTCCAAATGATGAAAATGTTCTTCGAGGATATGTAGTACTAGCTG